CTGTTTGCCCCTTGCCGCGCGCCTTCTCCAGCGTTCTGCCATGTATGCATTGGAACACCCCTACAGCATTTGCCCCGCCTACGTACTGAACGTATTCCTCAACACTGTATGCGTTCCCGGTCGACCTTGATGGCTGTGCTGATACCATCTCTACATGATTCCCAGCCACATGCTATCTCCCGCCCTCTTTGTGAGCCTCTCACCTCGCACACCTATCACGGACATGGCTGAGCATCATGTTTTGTGTGTTTTGCTCGCTGGTCAACATGTTTCCATGAATTTGCTCCATCATTCGCCGCTCGTATCCTGCTTGTCTCAACGTCCCGCCTGTCTTGAGCCACCGCAGACTTCAGCGCCTGTGAACTTCAGAAGAACGACCTATTCAGAGATGGCACTCCGTCGGAGATGGCTTCGAAGAGAATGGCGAGATTGCCGGCAATGCGTTGCCGAGCGCATACGTCGGCGACGTCGGGCTGCGAAGCTCCGAAGGTGCCGGTTGACCTCAGCAGGGTCGCGTGGCTGTCCACGGAGCTCAGCACATTGCAAACGGCACATACAGGACTCATCCGCTTCGATATTTCGGCCTTAGGCGGTATTTGAAACCCAGAAAGTTCAGGGTCCGATGCGGCATTTCCCACTGTGATTTTTATTCTGCAGGTCACAGACTGCGAGCTTTGCCGAAGGGCTTGTTCATGCTCTCCGGCCCTTCGGACCAAGTCACGGAATCGATGGTCCGAATCTTCTCGATAAAGTTGGACACCGAGTCATTGTTCGCCATGCTCCGTGCGCCTGCACAGTCCGATACGGTCTGGCTGGTTGCATCGAGGTTTCCTAGCCAGGATTTCAGCAAAGACTGCGAGTATATATAGAAGGATCTGCTAGAGACTTGCCGGCCCTACCGCCATCGCATCTTCATCACTTCGAAATGATTCCCGCTTTGATGCTCGGGCTGACTCTGGTCGCCACCGCCGCCTATGGAGCAGTTCTTCCACGCTCGGGAACGTTCCAACACCCCGGTCTCCTCCACACCGACGCTGATTTTACTAGAATCAAGTCGAAGCTTGCCACCAACTCTCAGCCTTGGGTCAGAGGCTATGAGACTTTAGTGAACAACACCAACTCGCAGCTGGGCTACGTCGCATCTCCTGTCGAGAACCTATGCCGTGGTTCAAACGCCGGCTGCACCGAAAACTACAGCAATGCCTTCCGAGATTTTGCGGCTGCATACCAGTATGTTTTGGCCCCTTCTGGGAACGCTCCTTTGCTGCTATCATGTCAGAAGTCTAGTTTGCTGACATGGCACCCATTTGATTCTTGAACAGACACGCTCTTCGCTGGAAGATCAGCGACGATGTCGCCTACGCTGAAGAAGCCGTTGAAATTGTGAACGCCTGGTCATCTACGATGAAGACCATCAACGGGGCGAGTCCAGACCGGTACTTGGCTGCCGGGATCTATGGCTACCAATTGGCAAACGTTGTCGAACTGCTCAGAGCTTACTCAGGATTCTCTGGTCAAAATCTGACTGCAGCCATTCGCTTGCTCAACGAAGCCTTCCTCCCGAACAATGTCGACTTTTTGACTCAACACAGCACGTATGGTCCCGACGACGTGCACTTTTGGGCCAACTGGGATCTGTGCAATTACGGCTCTGCGCTGGCTATCGGCATCGTCTCGGACAATCAGACGACGTACGATTTCGCCATGGACTACTTCCACAACGGCAAGGGGCGCGGCTCCATCGGCAACTATCTGTGGAAGACCTACGATGACTATACCGCGCAAGGACAAGAGGTGAGCCCGAGTGTAAAAGTGGTTCCAAGAAATGCGGTTGCTCACGCGCTTCTTTTCGATGGCATCTCCAAAGGCGGGGCGCGACCAAGGACATGCCATGCTTGACCTTGCTCTGATCGGACCTTTTGCGACCGCTGCATTCAATCAGGGAGATGACGTCTGGGCCTACAACGACAGCGTGATCCTCAAGGGTGCTGAATATGCAGCCAAGTACAATCTTGGAAACGACGTCAGTTATACGCCTTACCTCGCGATCGACTCGTCTGGAAAGGTGGTCTACAACCAGACAACGATCTCGAACGTCAGTCGCGGCGACATCAGACCTATTTGGGAGATGTTTTACAACGAGTACGTGGTGAAACGCAAGCTTCCTGGCACCTACACCAAGCTGTATGCAGACAAGGTACGTGCAGCCAACGGTGGAGCCGAAGGGGGCGGAGGAGACTACGGCCCAAACAGCGGCAACTATGACCAGCTCGGCTTCGGAACACTCATGTTCACGCTCGACGGAAGCGATGCCGAGACGCAGTAGACGAGAGGTGCGAGCTTCGGAGGCGAAAGGAGCTCTCGTCTCGCTGCTAAACGTTCTTGTGGCAGCTGATCTCGGGCCGAAAATCGACCCGGTGTTGCGGGCGCGGGACCCCACATTTCATGCATGTCGGCATAAGGTGCACCCCCGCAATTTGTCTCACTCCGCTGAGCCTGCGGCAAGAGTCAGGGGTGCGGATCTGTGCCTGAGCCCACACGTACCTGTCTCGGCCCTGACTCGGTTCATTTTGACCTCGCACACATAGCCTCTGTATGTTACATTACGATACATCATCTCGGTTTTTCCCAAATCTCATGAAATTCTTCCGCAATGGCTCAAAGTTGGGGACTTGGCCGGCGTGCAACTACCATATGGCATCGCAGGATTCGTTCGGTGTCCATGGGTGTCCATGCCTGCGGATGATCTGTCTTTCTGACAGCGGGGAAATAAAGACAGGAGCATCGAAATGACCTTGGAGCCTTTCGCTGACTCCGCTCCTATCTTCATACCGTGGGCACGGTTGAGAAGAGGCTCTCTTCGAGTGCGGCTGGTATCTGAGTGGGTTGAGAGCTGGAAAGTAGCGTGCACATGGGCTACACCTCCGATCCCCAGATATGCTTAAGCGCTGCCAGCATCGCGTCGAGCAGGCGTGAACACCTGGCTGTACGGCGCTCGGTATGCCACACACAAGCATGGCGTGGAGCCGGTACTCTTGAGAGCCGCAAGCCGATCCTCCCAGCATATGTGGCTTTCAAATTTGGGCGTTCCATCCCCTGTGACCTTGAAGCACACGCTAGGGCGCTGCCTTCGCTCGAGAAAAGGTGTTGGGCCGAACACTGCGGCCGAGTGTCCGATCTGGCGCTGTGTCGGTCCGACACTTCCTCCGAATGCACACTCGGGGGCACATTTGAGACTAGAAAACAAAGTCGAACGAAATGGACTCAAGCCCTACGCCTTTGGTCGGCTATACGTTTACACCGGTCCGTTCGAGCTAGGATTAGAGAGGTGCAGCGGATGCATCTTGCTAGCTTGAGCATCGACACAATATATGTCCATGCATATATATCCGCAGACGCTTCGCCGGCTAGGAAAGTATCCGATCGTGCCTGTCGAGACTGGTGATCATCTTCTATTGTCGCATTCCTTTCTCGGTACCTTCCACTTCCAATTGCCACAGTGATGTTTGCTTCGGTAAAGATCAGCTTTGCCTTGGCATTCCTCTCTGCGCTGCTTCTTCACGTTGGCGCCAACCTGCGTTTCCAGCCCCGTGCTTCCACAAAACCACTTGCTCATGCCATCAACGGTACTTTTGGCGGTCTTCATCTCCCTCATTTGAACCAAGATCTCTTCCTCGGCATCCCATTTGCTCAAAAGCCCGTGGACGATCTCCGGCTCCGACGTCCTGTTTCCCTGAACGGGTCCTGGGAAGGCATCAGGTCAGCGGTCAATCGCAGTGTTAGTTGTAAGGGCTACGCTGGCTTTGCCAAAGGGCTCGACATGGGTGAAGGTGGGTGCCTTCTTCTCTTCCGGCTTCGCCGTATCGGATCTCATCTCTCTGCTGGATTCTGACCTCTTCTATCCTGGTCCCGATCAAACGCGACAGATTGTTTGACGCTGGATGTAGTAAGACCGGCTGGTACGACAGCTCAAAGCAAGCTTCCGGTGCTCGTCTGGATCTATGGAGGAGGCTTCACAGCAGGCGGAAGTGCGGATCCTCGGTACAACACATCGTTCATGGTCAGAGAGTCGGTCAAGATCGGGAAGCCCATTGTTGCCGTATCGATCAACTATCGCCTGGGCGGTTGGGGCTTCTTGGCTTCGAGGGAGGTTCAGGCCGCCAATGCGAGTAACATAGGCCTCTTTGACCAGCGCCTGGCGCTCCGCTGGATCCGCGAAAATGTGAAAGCTTTCGGCGGTGACCCTGATGCCGTCACTATCAGCGGCGAGTCGGCAGGGGCTTTCAGTGTCGGCTACCATTTGGTTGGTTTCGGCGGTCGTCATGACAATCTGTTCAGAGCAGCGATCATGCAGAGCGGCAGCGCACTCGGTCCTGCTTTGTACTCAGACAATCAGCTGCAAAGCTCGTATCAAGCCATATACGACAATGTGACAGCGGCAGTCGGCTGCAACAACGCGGCAGACTCCCTATCGTGCCTGCGCAGGGTACCCTTTGACAGGCTGTCGAGGGCGTTCGAGCCTCACGTCCTGACACCAATCTTAGACGGGGACTTCCTCGACCAACTGCCGTCAGAGTCATATGCCAAGGGTCAAGTCGCCGATGTGGCGATCCTCGCAGGGGCGAATACGGATGAGGGTACTGCCACGTTCTTTGGTCCTCGAGGCACACTACAAGTCGAAGCAGATGTTGTCGCCTACGTCTCCTCCCTCGGTCATGGGCTTGATCAAAAGACAACCCGGGCGATCATGTCCCTTTACCCTGACGACCCGAATCAAGGATGTCCCTTCAACACTGGCCAACGTCGTTTCGCCCAAAACAACGGTCAGCAGTACAAGAGAGGCGCTGCCATTGCTGGCGACCTCGCCATCATTGCAGGGAGACGTGCAACATCGCGATACCACTCGTCCAAGAGCCCAACGTACTCTTATCGATTCGACCAGCCTCCCTGGAACGGTATCGAACCGCTCGTGGCAACGGAGGCGCCAGTCTATTCAACTCATTATTCGGAGATATGCTTCGTCTTTAATCTCGATCCCAAGACGTCCGTCAACAATAGCAACTGGATCGGACCCGATAGGTCCTACCACCGTCTCGCCGAGCAGATGTCACGGGCGTGGATCTCATTCGTGCACGATCTCGAACCCAACTACGATCAGAGTCGTCTTCCCCACTGGCCCGCTTACTCTACGTCCCAGCCTCGGAACATGGTGCTGAGGGCACGAGGTAGTCACGTCGAGACAGACGACTGGCGTGCTCCGCAACTTGCATTGTGGGCCAAGATCTGGAACAATTTAGACACATAGCCGCAAGCCGAATATTGCCGAAAGCATGTACGTCTCACTGTTTTCCCTTTTCAGAGCATCCAGTCCTCGAGAAACTGCATCCCTTTCGTACTCCGGGAATGTTGACACGTCAGGGCAGTGGAAAGAGACCTACTTTGTGACTGGTCGCACGATATCCGAAGAGATGCTTCGACAGGCCGCTGTACCTGTCTCTTGCCCTCCAATTCGAGAGGAGGCGAGGACGGCCGGCTGATTGGAGAGGTTTGGCTCATCTAAGATGGAAGAAGTCGCGTTCTTGTGGGGTATCCGATTACAAGAACGGGCGAACGCTGGTAGATGCAGGCAATCGCCGACAGATGGCTGTAAGCGATTGAAACAAGTGTTAGGTGACAATGACACGGGTGCTCGAGATGCTGGTAGTCCTGTGTACGCGAAACTAGCAGACCAAAGGTAGGTCGGCTACGAGCAGAAAGCCACGTGCGCGGCAAGTGCCGGACTTCGGGAATTCACGCTCCGACCCCGCTGTGGATTGCCGGCATGGCGACCGACGCAAGGCTGCAGGGTCCCTGCATACGCGACAACATCAGGGTGTCGGGGTCGTTGGACCATTTTGAGGCGATCCGGACCACGCAACGACTCTGCTTCCGTTCGTCCCTGGAAAGTTTCAACGCCCGCTGACTCGCTGACCTGTCTATGTACTGTCTTGATTGACGTCCTCCCCCCATCTTCGTTTTCCGTCCAGTCCAGCACTTTGCGCCCCTGCGCAGGTGTGCGCAATACAGCCTAGAGGGCCGTAGTGTGTCAATTCAGTGGAAGATTATGTGCGTGCGTGCAAAGTGTACAGCTTTTGGCTGAGGGCACCGGTCCAACGGAGCCAAAGCCACCCCAATTCCCCATCTGATGTATATGGACAATAGGCGCCGGGAGGCAGAGAGGTCACTGGCATGTTATTCCGACGAACGAAGCGCGGCAACTTGAAACAATAGTTTAGGCCTGACTGCTACTTGTGGAGTTGTAAGCCCAGAGAAGGTCTCCCCACGATGGCAGATCCGCGCTGGTGACGTTGCTCTCTGAAGGCGAGAGCCGTTTGACCTCCTTGATGGCCTCGCTGTCGACCCGAAGGCGTTGGATATACTCATAGTAGACCAGGTCGTAGACTGGATACTTCAAACCGCGAGAAACGTTAGCAACTGTGCCCCAGGGGCCATCCACCAGGACAGCTTCGCATCGATAGAAGGAGGGGTCGAAAGGAACGGTCTTGTTCGAGTTGTACTGTCCGGCATATTCGGCTCCGCGTAGAATGAGGTTGTTGTGCTCCTTGAACATGTCGCCACCTTGGGATAGGATGGTTTTGGCGGCCAAAGCTGTCCAGCCGATCGAAATCTGGGCATGCCCTGCGACGATCGGCGACATCAAAATGGTCGTGGGGTTAGTATGAGTCGGAATCCAAGAGCATGTGTTCAGAATCATGATCGGAATGGTACGGTACTCACCTTGGTCACGGCCGGATTCGGAACCCTGCCCTGTCTTGACGTCAAAATTCGCCTCGAGCCCAGCGCAAGGGTCGTTCTGCAGCATATCCAGCGCGTAGTTGTACATGGACACATCTTCGAGGTAAATAGCGTAGTTGAGCAACGCATGGATGCTCGCCATGCCATAATTAGCTTGCCCGACGATGACCGACTGGCGTGCAAAGAGCCAGTAAAGCTGAACGGAAAATCCCGTGCCGCCTTTGTAAGTGGCACCTTGCTCTGTCCAGTTGGCCTCCCAGCGCATAATTTCGGCGGCATTGACGAAAAGAAGGCCTTCGGTTCCAAGGAGCAAGCTGCGGTCCGTTCCGATGATGTCGGTCAGATTGCTTCCCCAGCCATCCAGGATCGAGGTCGAGACATTGCGATGAGCATCGTCTCCAGTGATGTACCACATGAGGGCGTTTTGCCAGGCAGCACGCGCGTCGCTGGTGAAGCTGGTGTAGTTGCTGACGGATCCACGAGAGATGACGGGGAAGGGCCCTTTCATCTTGTATGATGACGAGGAGTAGACATCGGCGCTAAAGTTGGCAAACGCGGAATACCAAGGCTCGAGCTGGTTGGCCACGCCAATCCGCATGCGTTCGAGATCTTCGTGTGTGTGCCAGAGGCCAGGGTGTTGGAAGTCGGCAGGCCTCCTCTTGTGAAATTTTACATTGGCCAGATTGGTTGGAGGAATAGCACCATTGAGACCCGGAACATCCCTGACCAAGGCGTTGACAACCGTTGTCGCCGCAAAGAACAGGGCTGTGAGACAGAGCTGGCGCAAATGATGGAAAGAGGGTCCAGAAGTCAGCTCCGCCGTTGAGATGCTTCCACGCTGTACTGTGCCTCCATCTTATTCCTACCTTCATGATCGTGGCTGGTTGGCGGAATTCTTGAAGATCAGGAGCGTATATGGGATCGACGTCACCTACGCCACATCATTTCGGCATGCTTATATGGTAACTGCACGCCAGGCTTGCCTGCTAGTTTTGGCGGTCAAGACCAAACCAATTGAGACGATTAATTTGAAAGCTAAAAAAAGTAGGCTTTGATCATCGAAATCTTAAGCCGGAGTGCTTCTTAAAAATTCGCACGCGACGCCTGGAAAGCACGAGGCTCCTGGGTCGCAGGCAAGGCCGTCGGTCCGGAGTTTTGTCCGACAGGAGTTGGCTCGGTCTCGGCGACGGACCGCGACTTTCGCCGTTCCGATGGCACACTCTGTCGACGCTGCGTGCGGTAAGCAGACCTGCAGCTGCAATTGCTTAGCTCCTCAGAGGCACCCAATGTTGCTGCATCTAGGCGGAGAAGCGACCGATCCCGGCCGTCTGCCATCCGCCGTTTGCACTCAAGTATACGAAGCCTCCTCGTCGAGAGTGAATGGACGAGCCCGAGCTTGCAGACGAGAACCGTCGATGCTGCCATTATAAAGCCTCGTCCTAGATAGCCCCGAAGCCGAGCTCTGACTTTGCATTGCTCCAGTATCAACCGAAACCATGATCACGGCCACTCCCACTTCCGCCATTCCGAATGTCTCGAGGCCTGAAGGCAGCCAGAGGGCGGACATCGATCTTCCAGCGACAGGTGACCTCACTTTCTGTGCCGCGTACTTGCTCGCAGTCACCAACACAGCTAAAATTTGGGCTGTCGCCCAACGCGAACTCGACAAGGTAAGCGCAACGCCATGACGTCTTGTCTGCAACTTTGGGTCCAAAGGTCTGATCGCAGCTTGCCTCCAGCCTGAACCGCCTACTTCGATGCCCGAATATACGCTGCCAGGAGAGTCTCGGTACCAAAGCACCCCGGCGAGTTTCTGGACGTCGGGTTTCTTCCCTGGCTCACTTTACCTGATCTACGAACGCCAGAGAAGGTGGCCTTCTCGAACCATCCAGAAACCTGACATTGCCAGCCTACAGCGAGCCTGCAAGTGGTGGACTGAAGCGCTACATGAGCAGGCACACCAAAAGGGGACCCATGATCTCGGATTCCTCATCCAGCCGTGGGCACAGCTGGCCTGGGAGCTGGACGAGGACGTGAAGAGTCGTGATTCACTCTTGGTGGCAGCACGCGGTCTTGCCGATCGATTCGAGGAGCGAGTTGGAGCTATACGCAGCTGGGACACGTGTTTCACAAAGAGATATGCCTTTGCAGACCCGTCGAAAGATTTCCTCGTGATCATCGACAACCTGATGAGTAAGTTGTCCCAGCGTTCAATCACTTCGTTCACGAGTAGGAAGGGCGCTCGCACTGACCTACGTTTTTTCCTAGACCTGGATCTTTTGTTTTACGTCTCAAACATGACCGGAGACCGCAGACTTGCCGAAATCGCGACCGAGCATGCTTTGACCACGCTCAAGTCGCATGTTCGAGCCGACAACAGCACTTGCCACGTAGTCAACTTCGACCAAGGCACTGGAGAGATCAAGGAGCGGATCACGAATCAGGGCTACAGCGACGAAAGCTGCTGGTCCCGAGGCCAAGCGTGGGGAATCACCGGATTCGCGCAGGTGTATGGTTGGACCAAAGATCCAAGATTCCTCGCTGTCTCCAAACGCCTTGCCGACTACTTCCTACGCCGCTTGCCCCAAGACGGTGTTCCGAGCTGGGATTTCGACGCGCCTGGACCGAATAAGCCCAGAGATACTTCGGCTGCCATGGTAGCCGCTTATGGCCTCATCCTCTTGGCCGAAGCCGATCCGTTGCAGTCGCGCAAGTACTTGGCGTCCGCTCTGAGACTGGTTGAGTCGGTATGCAGGCTGTCGTTCAGCAAGCCCGAGGCCCGCTTTGTCGGGGTCAGTCCGTCCGGCGTGCCAATCAGTGACGTCGGTGGACACGACACCATCCTTCTCAATGCTACCATCAACAATTACGAGTTCGCTCCGCGGCGGTGGGCCGACCATGGTCTCGTCTACGCAGACTATTACTTCCTTCGCATTGGCAACAAGCTCCTCGAGATGGGATTGCTATAGGACAAACCGGCTTCAAGCATAGATGGTTATTGTTCCTTCTTTTGTGCTACAGCTATGAATTTCTAAAACTTCCGAAAGAAACAGCTTACGAGGATGCAGGCAGCAGCCTGTGGACTACTAGTTCGCCGAGGCTTCATAGTCCGCGTGCCAAGAAGGGGTGAGATCGAATTGCGGCGGGGCTGACGAACACCAGGGCCCCCAAAAAGAGGCTGAGAGCCTGCACCACTCTGAGCGCCAGCGTGAGGGTCTGCAAGGTCGAACCGAGGTATCCGCTTTTAGCCCTTTGCGTGGGATCACCGCTGCCCAAAGGTTCTGCCGCAACGGCAACGCACACAAAGTATCGCGTTCCACAGCCCCTGGCACCCGCATCAGCGTTTTACCAGCGTCTCACCAGCATCTCACCGAGCATCTGAGCAAAGTGACTTGTGCACGCCAGGAAAGTTACCCGAAACGAAGGCGCCGCAGTACATCCGTCTCAGATGGTGCAAGTACCAGCTCTGGGAGTGCGATCCGGTCGGGGTGAGTGAGCGAGGCCCAAGTATTTTTAAATTTCAAAACTGTGTTCAGAAAACTGTGTGGGCCTCCGCCCAGGAAAGAGAGCTCGCAGCTCGGTGCTCTCCGAAGACACTGACAGGTCGAACTTCTGCCATGACATTCACACGCCGACCGCGAGTGGTGCAGGGGTGCCGTGCGAGAGCTCGCCCGTTGGCCGGTCGTCGAGAGACGGCTTTCCCCCTTCAAGCCTGGTTTTGGAGACGTGAGAAGTGGCGTTTGGATACGGGAATGATGGCTCCATGCCTCATGGTTGCTGGTGTCAGACTTGGAGTAGCAGACGTCCAAACATTCGAGTCGATGTCGTCCGAATAGTAGGCTTCGTAGCCCGGAATGGTCGAGTTGTAATTGTCCACCCAGAGATAGGTACGCGAGGGACGGCGGATATCTCTGTAGGTAGCTGGACCTTCACGACGACCATCGACGACGGCCTTGCCGAGTCTGGTCCACTCGCCGAAGAGTCCGGTGGTGCTCTTCTCTGCGTAGACTTCGGTCACATTCTCATCCTTGAGGAAGCGATAGAACGTGTCGGGCTGAGCTGTCGTCAAGATCTCCTGGTCGATAAGGCCAACGTTCGAAGACGCCCAGACTTTGGGGGCAGAAAAGTCAACGAAATCGCGCGTGTGCGAATACCAGATTTGGTCCAGGGAGCCGTTGGTGAGGTGGCCAGGGTCGCTGACTGGGAATGTCTTGCTGGACCAGAAGACGGCATGCATGTCACGGGCCGAGTCATAGACGGCGCTGGGTGCCCAAACCATGCCTGCCTGCAGGGAATCTGGCATGACTTTTACCAGGCGTTCATCTGACCAATGGACTAGATCGGACGATTCCCAGATGTGGAGAGATGTCGACCCGTAGTGTCTGGCCTGGGTGAAGTTCTGATTGATAGCGGAAGCATTCAGATCCGTCTAGAAGATTGGTCGGTCGTCAAGGAGTCAGTGAGTCAGTCGGCCTCTGCAGTTCACCTCGGTCGGTCCTCTCAGGACATGGCGATGCTTACCCCGATGATCCAGAATCTATCATGTGTTGGCGAGGTGACGATGAAAGGATCTCTGACTCCTCGAGTGCCTTTCGTAGCAGTGAGGATCGGTCGACCCCCGTTGATGTCCGTGAAGCTAGTCTCGTGGCCAACCTCGGCAATGTGTCCGAAGATCTTTTCCTCGGTTGTCTTGAACGTCACAGCAAAATACCCCGCTGCATCTTTTTTTCCATGGTCCGCGCGAGCGTTGACGTTTGATGGGAGTAGCGACCCACACACCGCAACCCAGACCAAATTGAAAACAGCAGCGATGCAAAAGTAGTTCATACTTGCAGGGAGGGCGACGGACTGGCTCCTCTGTGTAACACTGTGGCAGAATGTACAGTGCTAGAGATTTTGGACTTGTCTCGAGATTCAGGGATCAACGCGGGGCTTAGTCGATTGATCGCATCAATTTATAGCTGCGCAACAAAGGGAGGGGAGGGCTGTAAGTGCGTCCCAGAGGATCAATGCAGCACGCTGTCAGGGTGGCAGATCTCAGTCCGACGTTTCGCTCATCTTTGAAATCCCAAACCATTCCTTCCTGGCCATTCACTTGGAGCCGAGACGGATTTCTACGAGTTCTGCCGCTGAGTACTCGCAAAGCGTCGGACTGCTCCGACATATGCTCCGCTCTCCGAAATCAGCAGCATCGCCCTTTCTCAGCTTAAGTCATTTCTTCCGCCAGGTCAATTGAACGACCGACAGCACCGCGATTGTACTCGAGCCTACAACCCTTTTCGACGTAATGAAGGACCGGGCGCCGACATTCGCGCACACCACACACTGCATGGGGGACTGTCATACTGATGGTGTCGTGGACTCTGTGAACGCATCGCAACTATAGGTTTGCGATGGTTGTGACCCCATACGTCCTCTTCTACGCTCGTGCGTACACACGCCCCCGTCTCAGTCTCACTCACGTTCTTCGTCTACCAGCTCGGTCGTTTTCTAGTCCTTCGTCTGCTCTGCATTTGATTGCTCGCTACGTCACATGCCGGCTGTCGCCTGTCTCAATCAGCGTTATGCCGCCAGCCGCGGTCGCCACTCCAATACCGTGCACACTCATGGAAAGCAACATGGCTCCTTAAATTCCTGCTTGCCTTTCACATTGACGACTGCCTTCGTAACGATGCAGACAAGGAGTGCAACAACTGATGTCATTGAATTTCAACACAAAAATCGTCTTGCAAGGACAGGTTTCCGATTGAATCAATAGACATAGCGGAAGTTGCGATTTTCCTGGTCGGTAAGATCGTCAAAGGCTTGCTGATGATCGATACGGTCGGAGTTGCTGGAGTCCTCAGCGGCAGATCGTTTGGTCACGTTCTTGCGCAACAGGATAAGTCGAGTGACAACCACGAGCATCGTGTAGGCGCCATAGATGCACAGATGGGCGATGAAGCCCTTGCGATACCTTGGAGCGTCGCTGGTCTGGAAGATTTGCGGGGCAGCCATGTTGCCAGCGGCCCAGCCAACAAAGGTCATGGTGATCACCGTACTCTTCTTGGTTTGGCCAGCGATGTTGCGAGAGACCAAGGAGATGATCATGTTTCCCTGTGCAAGGAAGAACTGAGTGCAGTAAAAGGCGATAAGGAGCCCTCCGGCATTGTTCTTGGTGGGCTTGACGACGAGGATCACCACGGTGCCCACCACCGCCGGGATGGTCCAGAGAAGCATGGTGAAGCATGTTTGGCCCCACTTTTGTGAGACATAGGCGCTTCCGACCATGACGATGATAGTCACAGCTCCCTGGGCGATGTTGAGCAGCTGGGTCTGAAGGTAGGAGAAGCCAAACTGGGAGATGATGAGATTCGAAAAGACTCCGAGGCCTCCGATGACGAGGTTTGCCGTGACGATGAGGCCGAAGAGACACCATGCGAACGGGTCGGTGAGTGCCTCGAGTACCTGATGACGCTTGAATTGTCGATTCTGGATGCCCGTCTCGTTCTCTCGTACGCGCTCCACCATCAGGCGCTTGTCATCTTCGGTGAAGCACTTGGCCGACATGGGACTGTCCGGCAGGACGAAAGCGATGACGACGGAAAGTGCCACAGTGGCGAGACCGAGGACCATAAAGAGAAGCTGCCAGGGGTAAATGACGCCATTGGTGTAGTGAGCGACACCGTATGCAAGGAGGCCGCCGACCATGAGCTGGACACCCGACATGCAGTACCACAGGGATGTGAGAACGGCTTGCTCGGATCTTCTGTACCACATGGAGGTGATGAGGATAAAGCAGGGCTGTACGGTCGACTCGAAGAAGCCGAGAAGGAAACGCACGACCATGAGCGAGGCAAAGTTGTGCGAGGCAGCCGAGCAGGCGACGACCGCTCCCCAGCAGAATACATTGACGGCGAGCAGCTTGGCCACGGGCAGCTTCTGAAGCAAGAGGTTCTGGGGCAGTTCGCCGGCGAGGATACCCATGTAGAGGATCGTTCCGAGCCACTGGTACTCTTGGCCTTTGAGGTTGGCATCCTCCTTGATGTTCATGATGGATGCGAAGTTCAGCGTGCCTTTGTCGAGCGACTGACAGAAGTATGTGACGAGCATGATGGACAGCACCCTGCGATTGATGCTCCAGAAGAGACGCTTGTTCTCCGCCTCGCTGATCTTTGTGGGCTCGGCTGCGTACTTTGCCGTCTCCTGGTCTGCGCCTCGGCCCGGAAGTGCCTTCTCCTGATCCTGGACTGATGCATCGTCCATGTTGTGTACGACAAGGATGTCGCTCTTGCGATCAGCCGACTCGTCTTGGGGATCTTTGCTGAGCATCGGGGAGAGGAAGACGAAGCAGGTGCAACAGGGTTTCAAGCGACCAGGTGGGTGAGTGACCAAATGTGCGGGAAACACGAGCACACGGGCCCTAGGGGCCCCGCCTTTATGCTCATGTGGCAATCGCCAGTAGGTTGCGGCCTGCCAACGATACCGAACCTAGGTACGCGCGATGGGAACTCGGCTCCTACAACGAGCCACGCGTCAAGATGGAAGTAGGATGTGTGCGAGACGCCAAAGGGGTTCGGCCTCGGACTCGCGGCTTTGGAACGGCAACTAGTGTCGAGCGGCCTGCGTTGGACCGCACTCCACCACAGCGTGTCAAGCTCTGCACCCACCTTCGTCTCTGGTGCTTCGGACTGTCGGAGGAATGGGCGCGCCGAAATTCCGAAGCCCGTCGATTATGCCTCCACAACCCGCAAGTCCCTCTCTCGGCAAATGTTTCGCACGCCGCGTGGGGGAGGAGCGGGGAAAGAGAAGGGTCGGAGTGGGGGCAACCACGAGGTCCGGTCCAGTTTTTGGAGCGAGAGCGGTGGACGTTGGAGATTCCCGCAACCCTCTTTGCTTCCTCGAGCACTATGTTGGAGGTCCTCACTCGACTCTTGCATCCGCCTTGTGCTCGTCGCGCCCGTTGATCCTTCGAGGGCGAGCTCTGGGGCCCCGGACTCCAGCATCGTCTTTTGTCAGCTCGGTCAGTCAGATTTGCGTGAGGATTGAGACAGTTGGTACCGCCTGCATCACAGTTAAAGTGGGGCAATGAGACGCCGGCCGATTTCTCAGCCTGTTGGCCGGCGCCTGGAGTGCGTCCAGAGACTGTCCCCATCGGTTGAGCAGCGCACGGTCCCTGCGCGCGCCGGGCGTCGTGCGACGCTGCAGGTTTGACACACGGACTCTGGTACGTCCCTTACGATCATCCTCGTCGGTATCCGGTCCAAGCGCGATGGCGAAGCGTTCCGCACATACGTCCCAGCCCGGCAGCAAGCCAACAACGGTCAAACGGCGCCGCACCAGCAAAGGCAGCAGTCAGGCGGTATGCACGTCGGATGCATCCCATGACAGCCATGCCGAAGACGAAGAGGGCGACCAGCAGAGCGACGATGAAGACGAAGCGGCTTCAGGCTCGCCAGGGCACTCCCTCGTCGCATGTCAAAATTGTCGCAGACGCAAATCAAAGTGCTCCAAGACGCACCCATGCTCGCAATGCGTCAAGCTCAACGTCGCATGCCTGTACCATACCCGCGGGCGCCCCGGCCTCAAGATCGGCGCCGTCGAATCCCTTGCCAACAGGCTTTCCGACCTGGAGCAGATGTTTCTAGGCCAAAGCATGCTCCTACAATCCTGCTTGCTCGGCGACCGCACGCAGTCGTCCCCTGCTCTGAATAGCCTGGCAGCGCAGTCGGCCTTGCTGCGAGAGAGATGCCTCGACTCGGCGCATCTGGCATCCAGTCCACTCCGGCTGCCGTCCTCGGACACCGCGATCGCAGGAGCTTTCTCGGAAGCTCAGCCGGCCGCCGAGTCCGGGCCGGCGCAGAATGCTACCTGTCGATTGCCTTCGTTGCCACCTCGCGATATCCTCTACGGAGTGGTGGACTGGTACTTTGCCCAGGTGCATCGATGGATCCCCATCCTCGACCGGCAACGATTCGAGGAGCGGCTGAGGGCACAGTCACACGGCAGTGCACCCAACCTGGTGCTCCTCGCCATGCTGAGTATGGGTCTCCGTTTGTGGCAACATCCGGCCGCAGATCCTTTTCGAGCCTCTAGCGCAGATTACCGCAGCACCGTCCTTCTCAGGGGCATGGAGGGCGTGTCGATCGAGACATTGCAGGCGCTCGCCATCGTCGCCTTCGACATCATCGGCAGCGGCCACGGTCCGTCAGCCTGGAGCGTGATCGGCAGCATGTCCCGTACCGTCGAGCAGATCAGGCTCAATGCCGAGGAAGAATCGACCGACGCCGGTCCATCCCAGCTGCGCGCCAACGAGGTGCTACTGAGACGCATCCGCTTCCTGCGCCCCTCGCAGAATTGGGTGGAGGAGGAAGAGCGCCGAAGGCTCTTCTGGTCCATCTTCATGATGGACAGATTCTGCAGCGTCACCACCGGCTGGAGCAACAGCCTCGGCATCCAGAATTGTCGCCGGAGGCTACCCTGTGAGGGTTCCCTTTGGAGACTGCGGACGCTCGTGCGCACCCCCTTTTTCGGCGATGGCGTCAAGCGACGTGACTTCGTCTCCCGAGACTCTTCACCTCGCCCTTCAAGCCTGCAGCAAGAACAGGCCCAATACCCGACCGATGAGGCCTTCCCAGACCCTGATTCGACCGCCGACGGTATCGGCGGATTCGCGTATTGCATCGAGGCGACCGAGTCCCTGAATCTGGTCACAAACTTTCTCCTACAACACAGCCTGGCCTTCAGGGAAGCGAAAGAGGCGCAGAGGTGGCTCATGCGATTCCGCGACCTCGATCTCCGCCTGATCAAGTAAGTTCCAACCAGCGCTTCGCTAAGCTCACATTTCCTGGGTCTGAAATCTGACGTGATTGGCTGCATCCTTGCCGCACAGATGGCGTTTCTTCCTGCCGGAAAAGTGGAGAGACGCTTCTGCACCTAATCATGATGGGATCTTGGACCCCAATCTGGTACTTGCGCACTTGACCCACAATACAGCGGTTATACAGCTGCACCAAGCCGTAGCTTTCAGGCCGAGTAAGGTGCAGCCCTTTTCGGTCGAGCTGCCGCAAGCTTCGTCGCTGCAAACGTGCTTAGCCGCCGCGAACGAGATCGGAACCATCGCGCTTCACTTCCTTGACCAAGAGGCTGGCATCGTTAGTCCTCAGGTCGCCGTCTGCCTGTTCATCGCCGCACGGTCGCTGCTGACACATTCCAAGGTGTGTCAGCTGCCGGTCAGCTCCAGCTTCGATACACTCTCGGCGGCGCTTCAACGGGTGTCGGAGCGTTGGTCGAGCTCACAAACCGCGGTGGCGCAGGATGGCGAGGTGAGACCGCTCTTGCCCCTGGCTTCCAGGCTTAGCGAGAGGCTAGCAATGGCCAAAAAGTCACTCCACACCGTCGGCGAGGTACCGCTGGCGATGAGCATCGAGCAGCCGGTGTATTCGGGACACGCAGCACGGAGCAGAGCAAACAGCATCGGGCCCGAGCTCGAGCATGACATTCCGGGTCAACCGCCCCGTCGACAACACAAGTCCAGCACACAACGCGGCGAGACTTCAGCGACCGAAGGGGCGGGGGATCAAGCCGAGTTGAGGCCTTCCCGTTCAATTGGCAGCAGCGGCCACTTCGGTCTCGTGGATGCGTCTAACGGCAGTACCAGCGCTGCACAGATGGTGGATCCAGACCTAACCTTATTCACCTTGCTTCCAGACTTTTTCGAGCCGACACCAGCGGCTTCATTGTCTAGGACTGGATTCTCGGAAGCATTTCCGACTGCAGACCTATCGCTGGACACCACCTGGCCTCTGGCTTCGAACGAAAACCGGTCGACACCGCAACCGGGCGCTCCGCCCCTCAATAGTCAACGACGCACCGCCACGGTCGAGTCCAACAGCGACGGGATTTCCGAGATCGACGAGATGCTGGACATGCTCATGCAAAACCAGAATGGCGCCATGGGTCGGGTACGTCGCCAATTCCCTCCATCTTCCTTGCGACTCGGCGCGTGCAGAAACGTCGCCAGTGCTGACCTCCGTGCCTCATACGTACCTTATCTTACGATCCCGGTCCCCATGCCAGGACTTCCGCGTTAGCCGCTTCGACTCGGTCCTGCCTGCCGCCGTTCCGAGCTCGATCGCGGTCATGACGGATGCTGCCCAAGACAGGGGCAAGTAGAGCGCCGTCTTGGGATCCAGTGCGATGTCACGGTCCCTACTTTGCTGAAGACCTCGCTACCGCTCGTGGGACTCGTAAGCTCGCTCACTATCAGCGCGCAAAGCATCCTGACAACCACGTCGAAAAGCACATCCAAAGGCTTACGGTGAATTCACGCGAAAGAGTATATAGGATCGGCTAGTATTGTACTCGGAGCGGTCAGACGTGATATCAGCGTTGTTGTGCACAAAGTCACGAGGCTGCACACAAATTCACGAGGCTGCACAAGAATTGGGCAGGGCAAAGCTCTTGCCGCCTCGCCCGCCAGGGACGGACACGGCCCGCTTTAGGAGAATGTACAGGGGAACGAGGCAGTTGGATTGCGTCGAGAGCGCTCAAGGCAAGGATAGAGTCATGCTTTCTACTTGAAAACAAGATTTCCCACGTGCTCGTTGACGAACATGGGAACGTAGTCTGCGACCATGTACCACTTCGGCTTTGCCATGCCGTCGTGAATGTGTTGTCCATCGATCTTGAGGTTCTCGATCGTGACGTTATCTATTCGCCTTCTTGCATCATATCCAATGATTTGCGACGGGTATATCTTCTCTGATCTCGATGTGTCTAGTTGGATGTTGCGTAAGACAATGTTCCTGATGCCTCGGCCAGGCGCCGTCGTCCACATGGCATTCTGCATGACTCGAATGTTGAAAAGCTGGCCCTTTGTGATCTTTTCGACCCGCACGTTCTCGATGATGACCCCTTCGATCGCATTCTCGTCACCAGCGTTGAGCGAAAGGCACCCTTGATACCACATCTGGTTTTCCTCGTGGTCCAGGATGTCAATGTCGCTCACGTGTATCTTGCTGAATCTTTCGGGCTTTTCCGAGTTGCCGTGAGTTCCGATCTGGATCGGATGGGCAATGTCTGGCAACAGCGTACACCGTCTGATTTTGATGTTTGTCGTATCGCCGTAATATCCCCAGCGATGGCCGTAGATGGCGATAGTGTCGTCCGAGTTGCGCAGGAAACAATTCTCGACGAGGACGTCCTTACAGCAGAAAAGGTCTATCCCATCGCCGTTGCCGTAACCAGAGAATGAGCGGAATCGATCTATGTGGATCTTGTGTCCTTCGATGACCGGCAGACTGAATCCAAACGAGCGCAGAGAGGTGACACCTGTCACACTGATCTTCTCAGAACGCTCGATGAGAATTGCTCCGCCGTCGAGCTCTCGGGGCCTCTGAGACGCGGAAGGCGTGTATGCGGTTCCCGGTCTGTAGATGAAACCTGGACCTTGGAGGCTCGCGTTTGCAACACCGGAGAACACTACTTGGGCAGTCAGAAAAGCTCCTTCTGCGAGATAGACGACCGTGTCTGACGGAACAACAAGCTGGCCGTCAGTGACTTGCGCGAAAGCCTCGCCATTGTTGACGCCTGTGCCGAAGTACCAAAGTACTTGATTATCTCCGATCGGCTCTGCGCCGCTGGTTTCGTTCATCAGCACGTGAAGGGCTTGCCACTTGTCCTCGTTGATCTCCAACATGAAATCTTGTGCGCGTTCGATGGTGAACTGAATCAAGCCATCTTCAATTGTCACCCGGCTGCCTAGTGAAGCTGGGCGAATGGCTGCCGAATCGACTTGGCGAGCAAGGTACCGAATCCGAAACTCGACACCGCTCCCGCTGGGTACACCAAGTGAAGCAATCTCGACCTGATGCACATTGAATTCGTCTCGTGTGACGTTGGCGCCGGCAACATTAGTGGAAATCGAGGTGATTCGGTTCCAGCCACCCGCGTTCGATCCCAAGACTCGGGCCAGGATGTCAAAGTCATGTCCCACGGAGGCTCCATCAGGGATGCGGTCGGCGTCCATTTGATTCATCGTAACCAATGTTGCAACAGTTGTGGAATCGTCAGTGGTAATGATGAGCGAAGCCAATACCTCTGAACGCTTTGGTGAAGGTAAAGCTTTTAAGCGCAACGATATTCGCCTTCGGAGGCCGGCCCGACAAATTATCCGAGCTCCGTGGGGAGCCAGGGTGACATCGGCAATCTCTTCTCAATCGGAAGAACTCGCCGCGATGTTGAAACACCACGGTCTGTCGTGCACGTCACTTACCTGGTCTGCCAGCGCTTCGAAAGCCACATTAAGCCTGCTGTAGCAAAAAGGGGATACAGAAACCACCTAAAATACGAGACAGAAAAGAGAACAAAGAAAGGAAAAAAAAACCCCACCACCCGGGACATCTGTCGGAGCTCGAGCCGGAAGCAGTCGCAGTATTTTACTCGCTCGCGGGGCTGCTCTTCGCTCACAGCAGGTCTTGGCACTGTCAATCCCTCTGGCCAGGCTGACTTCCACGCCTCCTCAATCACTTTCTCTAGTCACACGTCGGTCTAACTCTTCCGGCACACAGCAGACGCGGTTGACCACTTCGGTCTCCTACCGTGCTTGCAGATCCGCATCACCTTTGGACTAGATGCTTGCCTTCCAATTCCTCAGGGATCTCGCGCCAATGACAGCAACATAATGGAAAGCACCGAGAGACATGTGTCGGTCCGCTGGAGAGGGCGCGTTGCAGGGATATAAAGCTCCATACTGAGCCCGGCTAGTAAACTAACGACGCCGTGTCCACTTCCCCTCCCTCTGACAACACCGTCCATGCATCTTCGAGTAATTCCCTTTTTGGCTGCAGGTGTCGCGGTCGCCTTTGCGGCTCCACATCATAGAAGGCACGACGGCTTTCAAGTCGACACTTTCAAGCATCCCGGTGCTCTTCACTCCTCCTCGGACATTCAGCGTATCAGGAACTACGTCGAGGAGAAGAAGCAACCGTGGCTTCGGGCGTATGAGCATCTCGAGAGCATGCCTCTGGTGCAGACTAGCTGGCAGTCAAGCGCGCACGAGATTCTCGTTCGAGCAGCAGCCGGAACTTCCAATTTAACGAACAACTATCCCTCTGCGTATCGAGACGCGCACTCGGCATACGGCCTGGCGCTTCGCTGGCTCATTGGTGGCAACACCAGCTATGCAGACGCTGCTGTCAGAACCCTCGACGCCTGGGGCAGCACCTTGAAGAAGATCGATGGCAATGAAGACAAGTTTCTCGCCGCTGGGCTCTACGGCTATCAATTTGCAAACGCCGCGGAACTGCTTCGTGACTATCCTGGATGGGATCGTACCAATAAGACAGCTTTTAGCAGCATGCTGAGCTCCGTCTTTGCCCCCATGAACCAAGACTTCCTCATCAATCACAATGGCAAGCCGAACTTTTATTACGCCAATTGGGACCTATGCAACATAGCTTCAATGATGGCCATCGGCATCTTCACCGATAATGCCACCATGTACAACTGGGCTGTCGACACCTTCCTGCATGGACTACCCGACTCAAGCATCGTAGTCAACGGAGCTCTTCCCTACTTTTCCATTGCCAACTTTACCGAAGTAGACACGGGTAAGACCTTGATGGAAATTCAAGAGTCCGGACGAGACCAAGGCCATGCGACACTTTGCATCGCTTTGGCCGGCATAATTGGTCAACAGGGCCAGAATCAAGACGTCGACCTCTACGGAGCTTTTGGGAACCAAATTCTCAATGGGTGAGTCTTACACTCCGGTCTTTCGACCGAATTCAACGAGCAAGCGATATGCTGACCCTATGGAAGTGCCGATTCACCTGACCGTAGTGCTGAATACGTGTCGAAGTACAATGTTGGCCAGGATGTGCCCTTCCAGCCCTACACCAGCTGGGAAGGCAACCTCACGGTCGTATCTCCCAAGGCTCGCTACGAAGTCCGGCCAGGCTTCGAAGCGGTCTTTGCGCACTACAACAATGTTCGTCACTTCGACGCTTCTTGGACCAAAGCCTTCCGCGACTACGTCAACAGCAACAACACGCTCGACATTGAGGGCGGCGGTGGTGACTTCGGTCCCAACTCTGGAGGGTTTGATGCCTTCGGCCATGGCACACTTCTCTACAGAATCAGCCCAGAGTAGAGGCCGTGCAGGCAATGAACAGATGCCTTGGTTGCAGGAGAGCGAGCGGGCAGCATTGAGTAGCTCGCAGCGCTCGGCGACCAAAGTGACTTGAGACTGGCAGACTGCAGCCAACTGCAGGCGATGGCGTGCCGAGCCAGCTGTGTGAGCTGTGCTGGATGAACAATCTAGCGTCAACCTCTAGCGGGCCACCTCTCCCTCTTTCACACGCCCGTTGGACCCGGTCTGGCACGGCGAGCCGGGGCCAACACATCGAAGTGCAGGGTTCGGCGTCATGTGGCGCGTCCGGAGGGGTCTGTATGACAGCCAAAGCACATCCCTGGGTCACAAATAACGCAAATTCGGAATCCGCCCGGCCCTCCACCAAAGTACCGAAGTCCACGTGCCTTCCGAAAAGGCGGAAAGGCAAACAAACCAATCTGTCATGGGAGCACAAGTGGAGGGCAGCCAGGGTGACAGCTCGGTGCTGCTGCCTACCGATCCAGCTGGTCTCGCGCCAAGCCTCAACAGGGTCCAAGGTGGCTGGGAGTGGAGCTTTCCGTAGGATGGTCACACGACGTACCGTGCTCGCTCCCACCATCTTCGGCGACCTGCATCCATGTCTTCATTGCCACGTAACCCCAATCCCAATCCGCCCGATGGCGAAACTTCGGTCAACATTTACGGCTACACGCCCTGGCTTGCGCTCTGCATCTTTTCGGCGGCCTTTTTTGGCGTTGCGCTGTTCTTGCATGCTGGATACGCTGTTTCTGCTGCTCGTCGGCGCGAAAAAGTCCCGGCTGCTTCCTATGAAGATCAGATGGGGACAAAGCGTATTGATTCCGAGCCTGAGGGCACCATCAACGCCGGCGTGACAACTTTTGAGGTTCCGTTCTGCGTAGGCTGTGCGCTCGAGGTCGTCGGCTACGCCTTCCGTACAGCCAGCAGTCGTAACCCTTTCGTCCTGACCAGCTTCATCCTCAACTACTTTATGATTGTCGTCGCACCGGTCTTCTTCTCGGCCTCCCAGTACTACTGTCTGAGCCTGCTGCTGCAACGCCATCCGTCCTACACGAGCCTCGTACCGCTGTCCGGCAAGGCCATCGTGGCCACCTTTGTGACGGCCGATGCAGTGACCATCGTAATGCAAATCGCCGGCGCAGCACTGGTGGGTGTGGCGGAGTCCGATCGAGCCTCAGGCAAGGTGCCACCGCTTACGCCTGCCCAGGCTAATGACATTCTTCGAGCCGGTCTGGCGGTACAGGTATGTTGGGAGCAGGCAAGAGACTTGATCAAACACGCATGCGCTGCCAACATCGACTGACTCTTCTCTCTTCGCTTCTTTGCTTGCTGGCAGGTATTCTCGATCACCATATTCCTCTTGTTGCTCGCCCTGCTGTTCTGCAAAGTGACGCGGCGGGGTTCGATCAACACCGCATCACCCGATGCCTGGCGTCGCCGTGCCCTGCTTGCCGTGCTGGCTCTCTCTACCGTCTTCATCTACCTCCGCACCGTGTTCCGTCTAGCCGAAGCAGCCAGCGGCGTCACATCAGGCATTACGCTCAACCAAGCCCTCTTTGTCGCACTCGAGACCGTGCCGGTGTTTGTCGCCGTGTTACTGTGGACTGTACTGCCCTTGCACGTGTTGCTACGCTAGCGGCATCCCAACAAATACAGTCGCG